TGAGCTACAGTAGCTCCTCTGTTGGATCGGACCACACGGGCCAGCCTCCACTCCCCAAAAATATATATTTTTTAAATATATCTATAGATATAGATACAAAATACCACTATTTTAGTTAAATATAATTTCCTTTGGCTTTAATGATTAATGTCAACAGCACACAAAGCTGTTAATTAACGTACCAGTCTTTGCTGCTCCAGAAGGTTATTGGCCTCCTCTCTTTCTTTGCGATACTGGTCCTCCAACTCCTGCAGCCTGAAGACACAAGTGAACAAAACAGGTGTAAGAGATGTCATGCACCACCTCAAAGGAAACACTACTCTGGCTTTTGCACCAGGGTCGCAAAGTTCCTGGAGCAGCATGCCATTTACTGCACACTGTGCTGCAGGCTCGTATATTGTAGCAGTTATTAATATTTCAATTAGTGTTACACTTCTTTCCTACTGGCTGTACCTGTATCTGTTGTTCCTGTCTACAATATGGTGATGAGACCCAATCTGCTTCCTACACAGGCTTTCTTGAAAAGTTAAAGTTGAATGGCTCACTATTTCCCCAAAGTACCTCTGTTCCATTTCCTGTTTCATGTCAATGCCCTGCTTCTCGAGCAGCTCCCTCTGGGCGAAGGCCCAGTCCACAGGCTCAACAGGGGTTTCGGCACATGGGGTCCTCTCCCTCTCAGCTCTGGCCTGCACAGGGTGGTTGAACCGGAACACATGGCTCTTCCCCAAGATGATGCGATTTCCTTTACGGGATAAAAAACATCTAAATGTGTTACACATACGTGTTGCTACTATGTATAAGGAAAGGTGAAATTCACGAAGCAAGAAAGCTTACTGACCCGATTTGAGGACCGTGGGCTCCGTCACTCTTTTGCCATTGACATATGTCTCAGCTCCTTCACAGGGCTCTAGGACAACTGCTGATAAAGAACAGAGAAGGCAATATGAGACCATGCCAATATTAAACTCTGGTGTACACAGTCAAGCCTGTGGAGTAAGACAAAGATCACCCACTTTCTCCCATTGGACCAGTCGAACTGGTAAAGGTGCAGTGCTCATCCTTGATGAAATGGCCGCTGAGTACTATATCCTGACGACTGCTGGCGTCTACACGTCCTACCCTAAAAAAGAGGAAATTTTTTTTTATGTCAGAACATGCAATGAAATAATGCATGCATTTAGCACCTAAATGAAATCTGAAGTTTAGGAAAGGAAGATAATCCCTCCACTCTACCATATTACCTTAATAATAGATCATAAAAGGACTGACAATATCTAACCTGGTGATCCCGTCTTTAATATAGTACAGCAGGCACTCAGACATCAGAGGATCCTCGTTGAGGTTCACTAGATGAGGTGTCTGACACAGAACAAGGAATCATTTATTAACTGTTTAAATTAGGAGAGCAATTTACAGAAATCATTCATTGCCCATATGTTATTTACAATATAACATATGCACACACTGCACATCAGAGAGCTGAAAAACAATCTCCCCCCGTTTCAAACACCAAATAATCAGCAATAGTTAAAACCATGCAGTCAAATTCACTCCCCGTAGCTTCACAGCATGTTTGTTTAATGTAGTCTCAGTCAAATGTTATGGGGCTGCAGGCCATAAATCACTGAAATGGGGGCACCGCCATTATCTTTTCCCCCATGTTTACACCAATTGCTGCCTTCAGGGTGTGTTTGAAGTGAGTAATGAAGCAGATTTTAGATAACACTTATGAAAAGAAAAAAGCCCTCGACTGATCTGCCTTGGCGAGACTTCTGTTGAAGTGAGACTCAGAGCACTCAAACAGCTTTAAACACTTCACAGCTACAAACCTCGTTGGGGGAAAACAGCCCGACTGTGTCGATAAACACAGCCTGGGGCATTCTAGGGCTATCGGAGGGCTTTGGGGTAAATAAACAAGCATTTAAGTTAATAATTTCAATGTTAAGAATTAGATGACTAAACTAAACTTTTGGAGATGTCTTATATCTTCTTACCTTCTTAGGCGAGAACACGCCAACTGTCCCACCATCTTCTCGCATTGCTACACCCATTTCTGCCAGCAAGGCCTCTCTGTGGATGGATGTCAGACTCATTATACCAAGTGGATACATGATTTGTCTTTACGTCAAGATGCCTCATTTATTAATATAGTTTATATGAGATAGTTTTGGACGGGGGGTTTCAGCACAAATGCAAAGTGGTCGTTGTCTTTACAAGTTCAAACTTCACAAAAAACAATTGTTTCTATTTTCTAAATACTCTATTAGTAGTTGCAACCTGGGGTCAAGAGGAATATGCATTCTATACTTAAACCTGTAAGTTATGGATTTTTATTTTATTTTAAAATAAATAGTTGTACAGACTAGAAAAACAGGATTATTAGCTGTATTAAAATACATTATATTCTACTGCTATATTAATGTTCAACAAAGACTGCACATGTACTGCTTTAAGATACATTAAAAGAGTATCCTTTGATATCACTTGTGTCTTTTTTCTTAAACCATTTTCGGTTGTAAGCATGTTGTCTCTCTGTGTTATTTTTCTACACCTTTTTCTTTTTTGGCTAGGACTCTTTCAAGAGAAAATATATATATATATTGGGGGCCTTTTTCTCTTTATTAGATAGGACAGCTTAATATAGAATGGAAAGAAGGTAGAGAGAGAGGGGATAACATAAAGCAAAGGGCCACAGGTCAGATTTGAACTCATGGCCACTACAGCAAGGGGCCCATAAAAGAAAAAAATACATTTCAAGAAGGATTTCATTACTAAAATGAAATAAAAATTGAATATTCTATATCTCACCTTTCCATTCTAATGGCTTCTGTCCTGCGAAGTTTCTCTTCCCAAGTCTCATTGAGTTCAGCAATGATTTTCTCTGTTTCCTGACATTAGACATGATAGCGGTAATTAAAGTAAAAGTCGTTTCAAGGATATGTTTTGTCTCTTTCTGTCAACAACTCCAATGAAAAGACCAAAACCCAAACTCACTTGATCCTACTAACAATATCTTTGTAGCCAAAGCCTGATATATCTTATTCCTGTGCGTTATTAAGCTCAAACACTGTTAAAACACACCAGTGAGCCACACTGTTGACATATGCTCCTTAATTAAGATGAATGTGGGCACTGTAGTTTACTTTGAGTCAATCCCACATATACTGTATAGTCCTGCTGTCATACTCACTACAGCATCAAATCCACAACTGAAACTAGTTTTCAACAAATGCACAATTTACTCCCGTTTGAGTGAACATTTGCAAAAAACTGCTTTATAAATGTATCAAGTCTTGTTTAAAAATGAAAGGGGGGAACAGCATGAGTCACAATGCCCCCAGATTGAGTTTGTTGTGCATTATTCTCCATCTCTACCCTCCACTTCCTTCCATCTTTCTACTGTCAATTCTCTAACACAGCCATAAAATGAGATTTATGACTTCGGTAAGAACAAATGGGTCAGTCTGGGGAATGAGTGGGAAACACACTAATAAATTGGTAGTTTTGGTCTTTTCATGCGATTTGTTGACAACAGCAAAAACATAGACTATCACCAGCCTTACACTTTAACTATTGAAATGGTTAAGAGTTAAAATGCTTTTATCTGTATATCTTCATGATGAGCATTGGTAATATCCAATATGTATACATGCAGTAAAATGACACTGTGTCAATGCAGAGTGTGGGTTTAAAGATTAACTGCACTGTATGTTATCCAGTGTTCACCTTCAGCCTCTCGATGGCCTCTTCGCTGCCTGGGCTGAACATGATGCGGTCATGCAGACTGGCAATGGATCCGGCGCGGCTGGACAAGGCTGTGATAGACGGAGAGGGACTCATCCCCGTCATGGCATTGGTCACTGTGGAGAGATCATCCCTTTGATTCACAGCTTGGCCTTTATTGTTATTGTTCTTGTAATCGGATACGTCTGTCGGGGCGGGAGGGGGGCATGGAGTGTGTACAGGAAGTGGGGTTGGGGTAATCGATAATAGGGAGTAGAGAAATGGAGAAACGCAAACAGAGAAGGAAGAGAAGAAAAGGGAGAATAGAAAAGAAAAAGAAAGAAGATATGTGGCCTGAAACAAGTCACAAAAAGTCACAAAGAGAAATTTGTCTTGCTACTATACAAGCGAGGGCAGCACCAGCAGAAAGCCACGCGGAGAGAGGACCAACTTAAAAGATGCAACAAGGAGGCCATCAAGCCATGACCAAAGAAAATGTAGCGATTATACAAAACTTCAAGCGAGCGTCATATGCAGGGAAATTCAAAATCAAAATGTTAAATATATAGTGTTCATCTGCAATTTTAGTTAAGCTAGTATGATGGCAGGAATTCTATTGCTCACTCCCTAAATTTGTCATTATATATGGAAAATAAAATACATAACCTAGGTCGCTATTAGTGCAGAGACATAATCACTCATTTATAATAGGGTTGTATTTCCTGCAGAGAACACTGGGAAGCCAGAACTCTCAATTAAGATTATTATCTAAAAGCACCAAGATACATTTAATGCTCAGTGTGCTTCTCTAAAATTAGCAATGTCAAAGAAATGACTGAAAGCAGAAATCCATCTCTCTGGCAGACAATCAGACACAGTGGTACGTTTGTCAGGATAGGATAGGAGTTTTAACAAGTCTGCCAACAGATCTGATTTCACTTCATGTTCCCGGCTTCCTGTTCAGTGCTTTATCTTGGCATAGTTGTAGCACCTCGAGGGCCTATGATAGATTCTACAAAATAAAGAATAGCAACCCTGTAGCTGCTGCTATGGCAACACAGAGCAATAAATTGGGAAAGTGTATCTCACCCATCCATCTGGACAGGCTGTTGCCCACCAAGATGGATCACACAATATTGCCTTCGCAGTGCAGTTAATGAAGTCATGTATTATATAGAGAGACAATAAAAATTTATGACATAAACTGAGATGGCTACTTCAAAGACCCACATTATGTAAGTAATTATACTGTCTCTGTGACTGAAGGCTGCATCATCATCTTATGATTTCTGTTATAGCTGCCAACAGGAGGCAATAGAGCCAGACAGACTGTACCAGGGGAATGGGGAGCTACACTTTCTACATCAGGGAAATTAAAGATTGAGATAAAACATAATTCTTTATGGGCCATAATCTTCCATATTGCATTGCTCTGATTTGTTGCTTCATGAACATTTAGCTCTGTTCCGCCAGTGCCACAGCTATAAAGACATACACAGATTTCTACAGCACCATGACATGGCACATACTGAGACCTGGACTATGTGCTATTTATACTGCATTAACTTGAGCTACTTGTATTTCAGTGCAACTCGCCTAAAACTTTCTGATCAATTCTTTATGATATTGTGGTGCTGCAGAGAACACAGAAAAGCTACTATTTATGCTCACAGTAAGCACCGGTGATGCTAAGCAGCAACAAGAGCAAAAGCAAGAGCCAGAAAACACACATTTCAAACCCTCTATGTCAGCACCAGATGCTCGATATGCTGGGAGAAGAGAAGATAAAGAGTGGCAGAAAAAAGAGAAAGAGAAAAAGAGACAGCGTAACACCTTTAGATAAAAATGTTCATGGATTTAAACATTCACTTATTATTTGCTGAACACCTAAGCAGAGCAGTCAACATAAATAAACATTAATTTGTCTCCACTGCTCTTAGTACAAGATATATAGCTTTGCATTTGAACTCATAATGAACTCCAGTTTGTAACACTGACTTTCTATTATATGCTAAACTATAAGCTTTCTCAACATGCTAGCTCCAAAAGCTAATGCTTGAAACCCTTCCCACACTGTTTCCAGTCTTGCTTGTTTTTCCCCCACAACTTGGGAGTAAACTGCACTTTGTTGCTATCTGTTCATCTCCATTCACGTCTTCCCATTGATTTTTCTGCGCTGGCTCTTAATTTACTTCATGTTCTATCTAAATGCACATCAACACACACAATGTTTGTGAGCACAGGGAGAACTTAAGTGCAGTGTGTGTGACGGGTGCTGTGTGGGCTGAGGTGAGACAGTATATCATTGAGAATAGTGTGCAGTCACTAATGAAAGGATACTTACTCTCAATGATGTCACCCAAGCCCTGGGCGTAGAGGAGATCTTTCAGGCGAGACACCTCCTCCTTCAGCTCGCGCACCAATCGGTTGTTGGGATCTTCATTGATTACAGCATTACAGCGAATCTGTTTGGCGCGGTCTGCGTACCTGTGGGTATATGGGAGGGATCATTGGGTATGCTGACACAGGGGAGGGAGCAGGCAAAAATGCACCCACACACATTCACAATCCCCCTGACATCACACATCCACACGATTCCGCAGCCTGGCACTGGTGAAGGGTGTTTGAAGTGTGAAAGTGATGCAAGCCGCTGAGGAAAATGTGTATTACACAACACTTTGGTCTCACTTGCATCCATATCCTTCAGAGCCACATTCAGCGAGTGTGGAAAGAAAAGGAAACAGTAAAAGATGTGTTGTCTGCTCAATACCTGAGGGTGCTGAGGGTCTCATCGTAGTTGATGTCAGCTGGACTCAAGGCTGCTACCATCGCGGTACGAGAATTCCCCCCTGACATAATGAAGAAAAACACTTTGGTTCAGTTTGTCGAGAAATAATGGATCAGTAAGAACATGAGCTTGACAAACATAGAAATATTGTGATCATACCCAAATTTTCTCTCAGTAGCCAGGTCAGAACTGAATCTCTGTAGGGAATGAAGCTCTCCACTTTCTTCTTCTTTTTATTCTGTGTGTCAAATTAAAACACAAAATTCCAATCTATGTATTTATGGTATTAAGGTAAAAAAATATTAAATATTAACAATATAACAATAAATTACCTTATTCGACCCAGAGTCCTAAAATGAATAAACAGAAAAATGTATACATTTATCCAAAATAACATCTGCTTTATCTTACGATGTACAATATGCAGATATAATACATACTTCTGCCAGAGCAGAGATGACTTTCCCCAGTGTAGTTAGAGATTTGTTGATATTTGCTCCTTCCTGTGAGCAAGAAGAACATAAATTATTGAAAGTAAACACACTGATTGATTGCTTTAATATGGATTTCATAGTGATAGTTTCCTATATAGACAAGGAAATGTGTTTTCAGATCTGTGTTGGAAGATGCAGTTAAGGAAAACATTTCACCTTAAGCCTGGTCCCTTTGGCTCCAGTAGAATCAGCCCTCTCACTGCCAGCCAGATCCACCAGACTTATTTTACTGACCTGAAACAAAACAGCCAGTAATTCAACTGCAACACATTAGCTGACAACAAAAAAGCTAAAGCTATTCATCTTTATCCCAGAGACATGTTACCTTAGCATTACAGCATGACCTTTAAGTAATCATTGATTTCCAATTTACGACAAGATTTTAATCAGCGTCATCAGTCAGCTCATAAATAAGGAGAGGCAACCGCTCAATGTTAAACAAGTTAATTCAGGACATGATCAAACTTTACCTTCTCAGAGGTGTTATCAGTCTCAGCATCATGACGTTTCTGAGTGAATATGATATTAAAGACAGCATGCGAGCGACTGCTTGTCTCATTCATGTTGGTGGCAGCCACAGTCCTGTACAGACAGTAAATACAACTTTATCAGTCTGTGCAGCAAGCCGTTTGTTTGGATGTCTTATAATGAATGTGCAAATAGGTACAGTATAAATAATAAGCTGAACTTTTGCATGTTCCTCCATTTTATCAGAAATGTCTTTGGTGTATTTGTGATGTTTAATTCAGGCCCTAACATAAACATAAACTCCTGGTACGTGACATGTATTTTTTACTATGCAAAAGACTCCGTGGCAAGAACCAAAAATGGTACACAGTACAACAACAGTGTGAATGAACAAACAGCTCCATCACCTGGCCTTGTTGCCAGAGTCCATCAGGTCCTGGATGTCATTGTAGGAAGTGACAGCCAGCTTAGACAGGTCCTCCACATAAGGCCCCATCAGAGGGTGTTCTCGAACACGCAGGTTGCCTTTATTTTTGGGGTTCAGTAAGTCCCGCACACGTTCACAGTAGATTTCCATGTAGCTTACCTGTTCAGATAAATAATATTAGTTTGAACATTCATAACATGTGTCAGATTCAGGTATACTGCATGTACAGTGTACCTGTATTTGTATTAATTGCATCAGTAATATTAGTGTTTGTGTCTACCTGCCCAGGTATTAGAAGCTAAATCTAGTGCATTACTCTCTTCTCTTTGTGTTAGATTGGTGTTTTTTGTACATGGTCCCTGACAAATAAACTGTAAACTAAACAGAATGACATGGGGTACCACTGCTTACCTCCACAGAGTAAGACATGCTGTTGTCTGCATTGTCATTTATCTTCGTGAAAAGATCTTCACACATCTGGGAAAAGAAAAACAACAACATTACTTCCACAGTTGTTACATTCATACAGAAATTCAAAATCATCTTTCTTTTGATTTATGATCAGCACACGTCAAGTAATCACAATAAGTCTGTACCAGGGGAATGATTCCTTGTTGATCTTTGACATCCTGTTTGCCCATCATGGTGTACGACTTGCCAGCGCCCGTCTGACCATAAGCAAAGATGCAGACGTTGTATCCTTCGAAGGCATGCAGCAACATTTCCTCTCCGATGTCTTTGTACACTAGCATCTGAGAGGCAAAATTGATGTCCTCGGGCTGTGTACAGAGATCAATAATCAGTCAAACGCAACAAAAGTGATGCATAGTATTGAAAAAGTGTGTGCGTTTGTGTGTGTTTGCTGGTGTGTCTGTACAACATTTGCGATGTGGGGGTGGAAAAAGAGTTACCGAGGTGTGGGACCAGTAGGAGTAATCAAAGTTGAAGCTCTTGTTGTCTTTGGCCTGCTTGGGGTTGATGATGGCTGAAAGACAGGACAAGGAACACGGGTCAGAGGGAGGGTGAGAGCAGCCCATGTGAAACTGTATCTGAGCTGAGTCGGTGTCATGTTGTGCTAATAGAGCTGAGAAGGCCTTAGACTTAGACCTAGACACTGAATACAAATATGTATAAATACATGTAAATATTTGCAGGTTTTGGTGAACTACTAGATGGACTCACTACTGACCAGTGGTCAACTGTCTTTTTGCTCTACTTGTTTGTGCGAGCGAAGAGTTTAGGTTTGATTTCAAGTTTCAACATTATGAATCAAACTCTAAGCATACAATGTATGTGAATGTATGTGACAACTGTGAGACTAGGAAATATCATTCACATCAAAAACTAGATTAAAAATCTGCAGTATAGCCCTGCTGGTGGCCCTGTGAGGCTGTAACACACATTACACACCAAAAATAACTAAATTGTTAAGTAAACTAACTATTTTGCTATTCTTACTTCCTTTCAAATGTACAGTTTGGCCTGATGGTGGTGCCAGATTAAAAGGCCACGTTGTTAGGTTTCTCTGTCTACCAGTGGCCATTTTAGGACCGCTCAGGCTTAGTTTGTCAGGCTCAGCTCATCTTTCAACAGTCTCAGTGTAAAACAACTCTCAGCCCTGAGCTGCACTTCATCAGGCTCAGTTGTCCCTTGTTAGCCATGAGAAAAACTCTTCTCTAATATTGTAATATTGATTCATAATCATAATCACACTGAGCTCAAAGAGGTCTCACAGACAGAGACACCCAGTTAGCCTTATTCTAATCCATATGTAGTCCTCACCCATGAGTTAAACTCTATGCTTCATATGCCTGGGGGACTCGAGAAGTTAAAGAGGAAAGGATGAAGAGAACTCACAAACATTGTGTCCCTTAACCATCACTGTACTTATACATACTCACATTCACATCCGTATACATATCTCCCATCACATACAAAGTACATCATTTATCTTCTCCCCTTTGTTAAGATTACATAGAATAGAATAAATTAGAATAGAATAGAAAATACTTTATTCATCCCCGAAGGGAAATTATAACGTCATAGCAGCTGAGTTAAGAGTAAAGGATTATTAAAAAGTCTTATTGCACTTGGAAGGAACGATCTCCTGTATCGTTCCTCAACTACTAGCAGCTGTGTGCGCGGTCCTGTAAACGCTCTGCTGCTGAACGGACTGCTTCTTAACCTAGCTTGAGCAGTAGTATGGAGGAGGCGGTGTGAAGAGAGAAATTTTTCCATGCATGCCAGCTGAATTCTCTGCTAAGAATCCTTGTATCCACCACACTCATCCACGCCGCGCGCACCCAGCATTCAATGCACACAACCAGAATCGGCCTTCTTGATGAGTTGAAGTTGTGTCTTTAATCAGTCGCAGTAAACACTAATCACTTTAAATAATACAAACCTTCTCTTGCCCTTCTTATTGATTCATGATGTTTTTGTATTTAACAATGAATCCCAGTCTAAACATTCTGGTTTGTCGATTTACTTCTCCAGGATGACCAACGATGACTCAAACAAATCTTCGTAGTTAAATTATGATCAAATCATTTCCTCTTGATATCTGAGCTAACCTGAGATTAGATACGTCTGCTTCGTGACCCAAACAACAAAATGGAGGTACTCATTCACTTTATGATTGATGACGCACATCTTCTTTTTAGTGAAGAGTGGCTGATATGGCTTGCTTGTGGCTAAAAAAAGCTGTACATTACCAGTACATACATCTGGAAAGGTTACACAGTATCTTATAATAGTATAGTATAGGACTGCTTTTTTCAAACAATGCCTAAAAGAAAACACCAGCTTTTTTGATACAATAATGATTTGTATTTCATATTAAATATAAATGGGATCAGACAAATGAGCCATGAGAAAGAATAATAACCTCAGTTTTCAACTGAAAAATCCACATGCAGCAACAGCAGTGAAGGTTTTGTAGGAAAATGTTTTCAGAAACAAATAAAGCCTTTGTAATGAGAAGCTAGGGCCTACTGCCAGTTTCTACTTGTGATTTAGAAATACATTTTACAATTACAATTTATATTGTGTAGTTAAACTCAAAATATTAGATATATACTGTAAATGCAAATTACTCTTGTTTTTTTCTAAAGGCATCTATCATTATTGAAATATTGAAATCAAGGAGTATTTGTGTGAATACTACAGCGCCTGGTAGCGTGCCCACTCAAGAACAACATATCTGGTGTGGTCTGGTGATACCAACTCTGAAAATGCTCCTCCCTCCTCCCAGAGCTCCAGACACCATTTTTTCTGCTAATGCAGATGCGGTCGATAATAGAGGAAAGAGCCCAGGGCTAAGTACACTCTCAAGTAAGTGTACACAGTGTTATTTCCTCTCTACACTGCTACTGTATTTCTAGCTATAAAATATAGGCCAGTGTGGCTGACTGGCGTTTCAGGTTTCAGGCCTCATTTACGGGGCATGATGTGTCCAGGTACTCTGGAAGACGGCCAAATATGAACACAGGTTCACTACAGTTTACACACAATGCTCTCTTTCATATCAGTAGTGTATTCTGTGCTTGTAATTGTCATAAAATACACAAGGTTTGCTGCTAACCACAGCTACAGAATCAATTGTATTAGTCAGCCAGAAATGTTTTCCATACTGCTCATTACCCCTTCTGTGCAGTGTCCTGCCACAAATGGTCTTTTACAGTGTCATTACATCAGATATTGTTAGAAATTCCAGTTAGAACTAAATATCTATTTAGAATTGGAACATTAATCAAGCAATAGTTAATAATCCCTCCACTAATGACAGTTGTGTATCAGTGATGGTTTTGAGGTCACCCTTGTTGCCTGTTCAAATGAAATCTGCTATTGTTGTCACGGCCCATCGGCCGTGATCCTGGCCTTCTGCATGCAACTGGTGGGCGTGGCCACTGGAGCTCCTGCACACCTCCACACCTGTGGCTCATCACT